AGAGGTTGTGGGAGAATCAGAGAATCAAAGCTGGTTCTGTGGCGCTGAATGCTACAGCCCTCTAGACAGAAGATGGAGGCTATACTTGGTTCCTTTTAAATGAAGGCTGTGTGGATGTGGGGGGAAACCCTTGGTAACAATACACTACTTTATGCCAAACCAAGCATCTCACAAAAGTGACCCCAGTTTCAAGAACATGAGATAGTGGAAACTCCTCGTTGCACACAAATCTAATGCTGAGGAACCGCACACATGACCTTGGCTTTAGTGGACCTCCAGAATACTTTGCGTAATGGCGAGAGACTATCAAAATCTTTGCTATTAATAAGGGTGTGTAGCCAGTCAGATCATGTGATCCTGGCCCAGAAAAGCCACATTGGGATCAGGGGCCATAGAAAACATTTATAAGACAGACCTCCATTCAGGATCTTGCCCAAATCTACAATATTGGAGAACCTGGTCAAAGATAGAGGTCCCTGAGTTGCACAAAGAGTTTGCTCTTGGCTACTAATCCAGAAGCTGATGGTTGGAAACCACCCAGTAGTGCTGTGGAGAAAAGGCCTGTCGATCTGCTCCTATAAAGACAAGCAAGAAACTGGGGCAGTTCCACTCCATACCACCTGGAGTCACCAGGAGCCTTAGATCAAGTTGACAGCCAGGGGTTTGGATTTTATTTGATCCATTAAAATAAGTAAACATCTATTCAAATAGATTTTGAGGGCTGAATAAAGAGGAATAAAGCCTAGGATCTATCCAAGGGGCTCTGGTGGCATACTGGGTTACTAACCACCGGGTCACCAGTTCAAAACCAACAGCGGGGCTGAGGAAGCAAAAAAAGAAAAAAAAAGGGTTCCTGCTCCCACGAAGAGTCACAGTCTTGAGAATCCACAGGGCAGTTCTACCCTGTCCTTTAAGGTCACTAAGGGCCAGCATTGACTCGGTGGCAGCAGAAAGCCCAGGTGCAACATAATAGGCATTTTAGTAAGAGTGAGTTCCTGGTCACTTCTCCTTTGGGGAAGAAGAGCCAGGCTTCTTGGAAAAGGTGATGTCTGAATGCCTAGTGTTTGAGAAGTCCAGCTTATAAGGTTTTTATTCTATTAAATAGGGCTCCCAGTCATACAGTGGCTAAGTGCTTGACTGTTAACAGAAAGCCTCTGGTTCGAATCTACCAGCTGCTTTGCAGTAGAAAGACGTGGCAGTCTATATTCATTAAAATGACAGCCCTTGGAGACA